ACGTCTGGTCCTTTTTCTGCCCCCAGAGTTGCTTCACTATCCAGCTGCTCCTGTAGAAGTACTTGTGAGGAAAGGAGACTGGAGGAGACTTGAAAGCAGCTAAATTAAAACATGATAAGGTTATAGGAGACCGCGGAAGTCCAGCCCTACACGGCGCGGGCGCCCAGGCGTTTTGGTCCAGCAAAGTCCGACAAAAGGTTAGAGGAAAAGGAAAAATAGATAACTAGCGAAAGGATACAAATATAGCTGAAAGGATACACTTTCTGCACAATGAAGCCGCTGCACTCTGCGTACGGCCGGCGCTGCTACGTTGCAGTACCCACGAGTGCAACGCTAGTCAACAGCTTCTGATTGTTTGCGCTTCCTATTCGATACATGAAACATAATTAGGTACAATTAAGGAGAGACGGCGAAGAAAGAAACTTCAATTCCTCCCACACAAACGCGCCCGAACCGTTGGAGTCTAGCAGCGGTTAGGCTGGCCGCTGGTCTGCCGCTGCATGCACACGGTTCAGCTCGTTCAGAGGCAAATGTATAGCTCACATATTTTTACTTGCGTAAATATACTTATTTTATAGGTGTTCTGGATCCTTTATGCTGGAATATGTTGCTTAGAGATTAAGCTCCTCCTATGTGTGAGGCAGCAGGCGATCGATGAACGGGGGTGGTTGTTCGCCAGGTGTTGGGAAACTGTNTCCTCCTATGTGTGAGGCAGCAGGCGATCGATGAACGGGGGTGGTTGTTCGCCAGGTGTTGGGAAACTGTATAGCAACGAAGGGAACTATGGGAAACTCTAGTATTTCAGTTGTTATGGTTAATAATGCAGGCGTGTGTATAATTTGGGGGTCTCAAAAAGAAGGTGGCCAGTGGAAAGCAGGAAGGAAAGCGGACTGCATCGCTCATGGTTTGTTGCCCACGCCTAACTCGATCCCTCACCCCATTCCTCTGTACCGACAGTGAAATATTGAATATCATGAGGGGCTAGAACAAAATACACCTGGTGGAACCAATTTATTGGCTCCGGAGTGTGAAGGACGGCTGGGGAAACTGGCTAGTGCCGTCGCAGGCTTTCGCGCACCGGCGCGATCCAGTCTCCATAGATGATTTGCCCCAAAATATTGTCCTGGCGCCCCGCGAACCCAGTCATACGTGCTCCAATAAATGGGTATATGAGGCATGCACTGGCTGATTAACAGTTACTGCTCGCGCTTTTGATAACCCACCAATGGGTAAGTGCGCAACGCCCATACATACAATGAGTGACTACACCTGTTTTGGGATACTACAGTTTATGGAGTTGTTGTTGCCTCCACTGGTTGCGTACTCCCCTTCCCGTATTAGCACTTCAGTGCGAAAGTAATATTTCGGTGGTATATCCAGACCCTACATTCCGGGCCAAAACTCCCTGCACAACTGCTTAACGAGTTCACTTGTTTCCGCTTTACTCTGATGAAGAATTCAGCGCTCAATAGGAGCTGAAACCATGTTCCATATCATGTGGAATTGTGGTACGTAAGAGATGTTGGGCGAAGACCCCCATTGCAAGTATTTCAAATACTCGGCCAACCAGACAGGGCGTGTGGTGAAAAGCAACAACGGTTACCTTTCGAAGAAGACTCACATAGAAGCGTTATCACTTAGCTAAAGTTGAATAGGCTTAGCCAAATGAACGAGGATGTGGCTATACACGCTACACGTGTAGACGAATGCGTTGTTAGTGGGCTACGAGCACTGAAAACCTCGGCGCAAGCTAAGCAGTGGAATCAAGCTGCAGTAATTGTGTATTGGAGTTAGAGTTGGGCCTAAGATGCAAATTAGTTGCATTGTCGTAGCTATGTGGCTCATATTTGGCTCATATGTACAGTGCTGATCACTGAGTCTTGCGCCATCTAGCGTCGGCAGGAAAGAGCAGCTGCTCAGAGGCTCATGGCGTCTGGAGTTGCAGCAACACATTCGCATCAGCATGTTGATTGTGAGCATCTACTATTCTTCTCGTGGTTGTATCTATGATTTATGTACGTGGGAATACAAGCTGCAGCAACGCTG